TAATTTCTGGTTGCTATGGGTAACGGCACTTTGCACGCTCCCTTCACACGCCCCTCTGAGATGTCCATGTGTGAGAAGTGAGGGTAGTGCCCCTTTAAATGTAGAGGAGCCGGCCTCCTTCCTTAAAGCTGAACTCCGGGGGCTGCCATACCTGGCCATCCAGTCCTGAAATGTACACAGCACAGCCCTGTCTGGCAGCACAGGAGACCTGTATTTTCTTGGCTGCAGTTTAGTAACACTAACAGGTCTTGCCCCTCCCCCGGCCTGTGATTGGACAGTGAATGGAGAAGCAGCAGATTTTTCAGCTCATCCCTCTGCTCTCTCCTCCTATCAGCATATCCCTTGTCAGCACACGGGCAGTGAAGTACAGCTGATTGGCGCTTTGTGATTCTTCTTCCCTCCCCCAGTCTGAGCTCTGCTGTACAGCGACTGGAAAGGGGGGGGTGGGGGGACACCCTCATGTGGCGTGTGCGGTGCCCGTGGTGAAGACGCAGGACGTGGAGGAAGGTTCTGCAGCACAAACAAAGCTTTTATCTCTTATTTATTGTTCATTGTCTGATGGTATTGCAGGCGGAGACATCTCTCCTCATCACTCATCACTCGGTGATCATTAACCCCCCAGAGGACAGCGCCGCCCGCAGGACGCTCCAGGATGCTGATGCAGCTGCCGCCATCGGGTGAGTGCGCGGGGGTCCTCATCCGGGTTCGTAGCAGGGAAGTTTCCCCTTGGGGTGATTTCCCTTCATTTCCTGTCTTGGAGACACAACAGGAAGTTGTGGGGGGTGGGGGGGACCTCTCTTGAACAGTTGTCACCCAGCTAGCCTATAACAGTCCTCTCAGAAATGTTGCGGTGACTGGATGATAGGAGTCGTCCATGCGGATGTTCAGAGTTATTGTCCTCTGCCGGGACTTGGATCATTTATTGCAGAGCCGCCATTGTAACTTTATTTGCAGTATCAGAACGCACAAAGGGGGCTGACCTTGTCCCTCCTCCTTCTCCCTCCAGGGCTGGTCCATCATGCCAGGAAGGTGATCCATGAGGGGCCGCCGTCCCACTACCAGATGCAGGAGTTCGCTCGGAAGAACGCCGCCAACTTCCTGTCCCTGGTCAACCTACTGATGGGCCTCAGCTCCATCCTCTGCAACCTGAACGGGTGAGTAGCCAGACATGGCCGCCGCCGCCGCGGGGAGTCTCCAATGGAGGGATCTCATCTCTCATCAGATTAGTATGAGCTGCCTGGGCCCTATGGATAGAACGCCCTAGGGACCGATCCAATGGTAGAGTGCTCATGTGGTGTTGGGACTTGCTGTGATCCGGATGATGATCCTAACCCTGATCTAGCCCTCATCCTCCTGCATGTATCCTCCTCCTGCATGTATCATCCTCCTGCATGTATCCTCCTCCTGCATGTAGCATCCTCCTGCGTGTATCTTCCTCCCGCATGTATCATCCTCCTGCATGTATCATCCTCCTGCGTGTATCATCCTCCTGCATGTATCATCCTCCTGCATGTATCCTCCTCCTGCATGTATCATCCTCCTGCATGTATCATCCTCCTGCATGTATCCTCCTCCTGCATGTATCCTCCTCCTGCATGTATCATCCTCCTGCATGTATCATCCTCCTGCATGTAGCATCCTCCTGCATGTATCCTCCTCCTGCATGTATCCTCCTCCTGCATGTATCATCCTCCTGCATGTATCCTCCTCCCGCATGTAGCATCCTCCTGCGTGTATCTTCCTCCCGCATGTATCATCCTCCTGCATGTATCATCCTCCTGCATGTATCATCCTCCTGCATGTATCATCCTCCTGCATGTATCTTCCTCCCGCATGTATCATCCTCCTGCATGTATCTTCCTCCCGCATGTATCATCCTCCCGCATGTAGCATCCTCCCACATGTAATACTAGGTGATACTATTTAATACTATGTGGTACTATATAATACTATGTGATACTATATAATACTAGGTGATACTATATAATACTAGGTGATACTATATAATACTTGGTGATACTATATAATACTAGGTGATGCTATATAATACTAGGTTACACTATATAATACTAGGTGATACTATATAATACTATGTGATACTAGGTGATACTATATAACACTATGTGATACTATATAATACTAGGTGATACTATATACTACTATGTGGTACTATATAATACTAGGTGATACTATATAATACTAGGTGATACTATATAATACTATGTGGTACTATATAATACTAGGTGATACTATATAATACTAGGTGATACTATATAATACTAGGTGATACTATATAATACTAGTTGATGCTATATAATACTATGTGATACTAGGTGATACTATATAAAACTATGTGATACTAGGTGATAATAAAATACTACTATGTGGTACTATATAATACTATGTGATACTAGGTGATGCTATATAATACTAGGTGATACTATATAATACTATGTGATACTATATAATACTATGTGATACTATATAATACTATATAATACTGTATAATACTATGTGGTACTATATAATACTAGGTGATACTATATACTACTATGTGGTACTATATAATACTATGTGGTACTATATAATACTAGGTGATACTATATACTACTATGTGGTACTATATAATACTATGTGATACTATATAATACTAGGTGATACTATATACTACTATGTGGTACTATATATAATACTAGGTGATAGTATATAATACTAGGTGATACTATATAAAACTAGGTGATACTATATAATACTGTATAATACGATGTGATACTATATAATACTTGGTGATACTATATAATACTTGGTGATACTATATAATACTATGTGATACTATATAATACTAGGTGATACTATATAATACTGGGTGATACTATATAATTTCTATGTGATACTATATAATACTAGGTGATACTATATGCTATATAATACTTGGTGATACTATACAATACTATGTGATTCTATATAATACTAGGTGATACTATATAATACTTGGTGATAATATATAATACTATATAATACTATGTGCTACTATTTAATACTATGTGACACTATATAATACTAGGTGATACTATATAATACTGTGTGATACTATGTGATACTATATAATACTATATGATACTATATAATACTATATAATGTTAGGTGATACTATATAATACTAGGTGATACTATATAATACTGGGTGATACTATATAATTTCTATGTGATACTATATAATACTAGGTGATACTATATGCTATATAATACTTGGTGATACTATACAATACTATGTGATTCTATATAATACTAGGTGATACTATATAATACTTGGTGATAATATATAATACTATATAATACTATGTGCTACTATTTAATACTATGTGACACTATATAATACTAGGTGATACTATATAATACTGTGTGATACTATGTGATACTATATAATACTATATGATACTATATAATACTATATAATGTTAGGTGATACTATATAATACTAGGTGATACTATATAATACTAGGTGATACTATATAATACTGGGTGATACTATATAATACTAGGTGATACTATATAATACTAGGTGATACTATATAATACTAGGTGATACTATATAATACTATATAATGCTAGGTGATACTATATAATACTAGGTGATACTATATAATACTATGTGATACTATATAATACTAGGTGATACTATATAATACTGGGTGATACTATATAATTCTAGTTGATACTATATAATACTAGGTGATACTATATACTACTATGTGGTACTATATAATACCAGGTGATACGATATAATACTAGGTGATACTATATAATACTAGGTGATACTATATAATACTAGGTGATGCTATATAATACTAGGTGATGCTATATAATACTATATAATACTATGTGATACTATGTAATACTATGTAATACTATATAATTCTAGGTGATGCTATATAATACTAGGTGATACTATAAAATACTATGTGATACTATATAATACTATATAATACTGTATAATACTATGTTGTACTATATAATACTAGGTGATAGTATATAATACTATGTGGTACTATATAATACTAGGGGATACTATATGCTATATAATACTTGGTGATACTATATAATACGATGTGATACTATATAATACTAGGCGATACTATATAATACTATGTGATACTATATAATACTAGGTGATACTATATACTACTAGGTGGTACTATATAATACCAGGTGATACTATATAATACTAGGTGATGCTATATAATACTAGGTGATGCTATATAATACTATATAATACTATGTGATACGATGTAATACTATGTAATACTATATAATACTAGGTGATGCTATATAATACTAGGTGATACTATATAATACTATGTGATACTATATAATACTATATAATACTGTATAATACTATGTGATACTATAGAATACTAGATGATACTATATAATACTTGGTGATACTATATAATACTAGGTGATACTATATAATACTAGGTGATACTAGGTGATACTTTATACTATATAATACTATGTAACTATACATAACAGATACAGTAACATCCTCTCGGTCATTTTCCTCTTTCCGTGTCGCCGTCACATGTCCGATGTTATCTGCGCCAGTGATTGTCCTCGTGCTGATTGGATGAGATTATGATGATGACCCTCAGATGAGATCACGTCGCGCTCTGATTGGCTGCTCTCTCTCCGCAGGTACCGCCAGTGGTCATGCTGGCTCCTTCTCATGGGTTTCATGTTGGACCTGGCGGATGGCGCCGTGGCACGACAGCTAAACACGTGCTCGGCTCTGGGTGAGTGACGCCCATTAGCGGCTCCGCCAGATAAACATTAACGAATGTGTGAGAGGCACCCGCAGCGTTTTCCACCTCTACGTGACTCCTGAGCTCCGCCGCCGGACGCCCCGTGTGTAACCGAGTGTGAAATGTCCCTGACTGCCACCAACTATTCCCCCGGTGTGCCCGGCGTGCACAGGACTGCCTGAAAGGAGGACTGTCTGTGATCCCCTGACCTCCACCAATCATGTGATCGGTGACGACATCTCGCCGACATTGCGGACTCCAGAAATAACTCGATTGTCTTTGTTGGGTTTTCAGGGGCGAAGTTGGACGACTTTGCGGATTTCACTTCGTTCGGCTTGGCCACGGCGCTGCTGCTGCACGGGAATGGCGCGATGGACGAGGTGCTGGTAATGGTGTACGTTCTGGCTGTCTTCACACGGCTGTGCTTCTATGCCAGTGGTAAGACTCCGCCTACATTACCCGACTATTTTCACCCGACTTTATTTACCCGACTTTATTTACCCGACTTTATTTACCTGACTTTATTCACCCGACTATATTCACCCGACTATATTCACCCAACTATATTCACCCAACTTTATTCACCCAACTTTATTCACCCATTTTATTCACCCGACTTTATTCACCTGACTATATTTACCCGACTATATTTACCCGACTTTATTTAACCAACTTTATTTACCCGACTTTAGTTACCTGACTTTATTCACCCGACTATATTCACCCGACTTTATTTACCTGACTTTATTCACCCGACTTTATTCACCCGACTTTATTCACCCGACTATATTCACCCGACTATATTCACCCGACTTTATTCACCCGACTTTATTCACCCGACTATATTCACGCGACTATATTCACGCGACTTTATTCATCCGACTATATTCACCCGACTTTATTTACCTGACTTTATTCACCCGACTTTATTCACCCGACTTTATTCACCCGACTATATTCACCCGACTATATTCACCCGACTTTATTCACCCGACTTTATTCACCCGACTTTATTCACCCGACTATATTCACCCGACTATATTCACCCGACTATATTCACCCGACTATATTTACCTGACTTTATTCACCCGACTTTATTTACCCGACTATATTCACCCGACTATATTCACCTGACTTTATTCACCCAACTATATTCACCCAACTTTATTCACCCGACTATAATTGATGCATCTTCTCCTCCGCAGGAATTCCCTTCATGTACCGCGGCCTGCCCTGTCCATACGCCTCCGCCATCTTGTCCTGTGCCTCTCTCCTGACTGGTGGGCACCCCCTAGTACTGCGCGCTATAGCCGTCGTCATGATCCTCTTTATGATCGATCAGGGGATCTACCCGCATGACAAGATCCTGGAATCCCAGGCATGGAAGAAGATGGTGTTTGCAGGAGGTGAGAGACATTCCGCGGGTACAGTGGGGGTATGGGGTGTATTGGGGGTACAGCAGGTGTGGGGTGTACAGGGGGTACAGCGG